GGATAAAACTCTCATTACAATATCTTACAAAGCTTTATTCAAATCACACTAATCCTGCATTTGATTGCGTTTTTCATCCCCTTTATGAGGATATATACCTTAAAAAGCCATCCCTTATTCCTCCACTCGGTCTGCGCATCACAACTGCTATTTCTGCTGCTAATATCGATCTTAAACATATAGCTCCCACTCAGCTTTTGCCTTCTCCACCATGGCAGTTGGTACAGCCAGAGGTTGACCTGTCATTGACTCAACTTAAGAAATCCGAAACAAACCAGCTAATCTACCAACAAGAATTTAATCAGTTGCGGACCAAATATGAAACTTACAAAACTATATTCACAGATGGATCCAAGGATGGTGACGCGGTTGCCAGCGCCACTGTCATTGGATCCAGGATTTTGTCTTCACGACTTCTAGATCATAGTTCCATTTTTACAGCCGAATCCCATGCCATTTTAACAGCTCTACAATATATTGGTAAACAATCTAAGCATACGCAATTTGTATTATTTTCAGACTCTCTCTCGTGTCTTCAGGCTATTAAAAATATATCATGTAAGCATCCACTTTTAATCCAAATTATTGAATTATATAATGAACTTGCTACTGGCCAATATCACATCGTCTTTTGTTGGTTACCCAGCCATGTTGGAATCACTGGGAACACAATGGCCGATGCTGCTGCAAAAGCAGCCCTCAACAAATCTGTGACACCACTTCTGATCCCATACAGCGATATCAAACCTGTTATTCGATGTTACATCAGAGATCAAATGCAGCAGAAGTGGGACACTCAAGTAGGTATCAATAAATTACATGAAATTACACCAAATATCGGTTACACCTACTTGGGCTGTCAGTCCAGATTTGAAGAGGTCATTTTACGACGATGTCGTATTGGCCATACAAGATACACACACGAATATTTGTTAAAAGGTGAAGATCCTCCATTTTGTATCCCTTGTGATGAGAGAATCACAGTCAAGCATGTCCTGCTCGAGTGTATTGATTTTTCCATCACAAGGGATAAATATTTCAAATCATCATCCATAAAGGATCTTTTTAATAGTATTGATTCTCGTTAAATTATTGCTTTTTTAAAGGAAATTGAGTTGATTGAAAAATTTTGATTGATACGTGTAATTACATATGAATGTTTTAAAATTGGTAGATTAAATTAGCAACTGAGATTGTTTGTGGCGGTATCCTTGAAGGGGGTTAAAGTACAGTAAAATTATTGTCCCCCTGAGAGGATACATAAGTTCCATTTCTTTCACAGTAAATTTATAGCTATCACAATTTTAATCGTAGTATATTTGTTCATTTTAATTGGTGGTTAATATTGACTACAATCGCCAGCGACTGAAGGGATGGTGTAAATCCTGCTGGGGAGCCGTGCAGGTAGCAAAAGCATCGTAAGTCCCCTCGGTCCCTAGTGTGGTGGCCTAACTTTGGTTGCTGGCGATCTATAACCCGTTTTTATATTGTGTTGTTGAATTATACCATTGTTCTTTTATATACTCTCAAACTAGTTTTAACTAAAATCTGTGATACTCTAGTTATTGTACTGTCCTTTGTCGACAGGTTTTATATTTCAGTTTTGTGTTTCATGACTATATAACTTGATTTAGTCACGATATGGCTGAAATATTGCCGATGTGACTATAAACCATAACTCACTCACTCACTGTGCACAGAACTTTAAACTCTTGTCGAGGCATTGCTCGTGACAGGGCTCGTTGTCTGTCCGACATGTCTGAGGATGAAATTGCTACTGATTTGGAAGACCAGGCTGTAACCGCAGTTAAACGTTTCACGATCAAGAAAGACGGTGTCATCACGAACACCAATACCTATCTCATGACGTTTGCCCAAACTTCCCTTCCAAAGTCAATAAAAGCAGGTTATATGAACATGGGAGTGGATGTGTATGTCCCCAATCCGCTCCGATGCTACAAGTGCCAACATTTCGGTCATGGTTCAAAATCCTGTCATAACTCTGTGGTATGTCATCGTTGTGGTGACAACCATGAGAGCATTGACTGTAATCATGATCTGAAGTGTGCAAATTGATCAGGCACACATGTTGCTTCATCCAAATCTTGCCCTGTGTGGCAAATGGAATCCAAAATAATGAAAATAAAATGTGAAAAAAACATATCCTACCTGGATGCCAAAAAACTATTCAAAATTCAGATCACTACCCCCTCAACTATTTCCTACTCCGCTGCTGTCTCCCGCTCTGTTACAACATCTACTATTTCGTGCCAGACTGACTGGACATGGGTCACGTCAGATCAACCAGTTGATACTGTTCCAATCATTCAGGATATACCTACCATCAGTCTATCCAGTTCAGGATCTCAGACTGAGATTCAGTCTGAGAAACCATCACATACGTCAGTCAAACAACCAGTCGTTGTTCATTTGTCGAATAAAGAAAAAAAGAAATTGAAGAAAAAACAACTGCCAATCGTCCCTTCACCTTCAGAGGTTCCTTTACAGAACTGGCACTCGTGAAGAGCAACCTCCTCGTGGTGAGTGCTGGGTAACGCTAATCGCTCTTCCCCCGTGTGGAACCGGGGCAGAATATTTCCACAGCCTCCCATTGCTGGTCGTATGAGGCAACTAAAATGGGCAACCTGTTTGCCGTGGGTTGCGTCCCTGTGTCGTTGGAGGAAGGGAGTCTGGTGGTTGAGGGCACTGGAGCTAGGAACCGGTGTTTCTTTGCCCAACACACCACTTTGACCCTAACTTCACCTAGACAGGTGATAGAATGGGCCCGATTCTATCAATCGGCTGGTCACGCCAAGCCCTGTGCATAAAATTGTGTATGCACTCTCGTGATTTTTATAAATGTATTATTGAGCTATAGACTTGGACCTGTATATCATGCTTGAATTTTCAAACTATTTATGTACCAATTTGCCTAGAGTCTTATGCCAGAAGGCGGTGGCTCATGGGCCAATCTGGTGATGTTGACCTCCAAATTCAGTATGTATCCAATTTCTTGTCATGGGCCGAACCAGCCTGGCATTTAATTTGGTATACAAATATTGCTCTTTGCGTCATATTTGCTGTAGTATAACATCTCTGTATCCCTGGTGTTTGCATCTTGGATATCCGGTGCACCATAACACCGTTCTTTGTAACACTCCGTGGTGGGTGGGGAGCAGGGGTGCTGAATTACTTTATTTCATCATGTCTCACCAATACCCTGGTTCAAACCGATCAAAACGTAGACATGTGGATCTAGATGAATCTGATCAAACTGAAAAATTATCTCGTGAATTGGATTCCTGGGCCCGATTTATTGTGATCGAGGCAGCTGATAACCAACCATTAACGCTTAATCCTTTCGCCATTTCAAAAGCAGTTTCAGGAATTTGCGGAGAGGTAAAAAATGTGACACTTATTCGTAGTGGCTCTCTTCTCGTTGAATTTTCACGGAGACAGCAATCTCTCAATTTGCTATCTTTATCTACTTTTGCAAATATTGAGGTTGCTGTGTCCGTACACAAAACCTTAAATTCTTGCCGAGGCATTGTTCGTGACAGAGCTCGTTGCCTGTCCGACATGTCGGAGCAAGAAATTACAGATGAATTGACTAGTCAGGGAGTAAGTGCAGTGAAGCGTTTCACAATGAAATCCAGAGACGGTGACATCATGCCGTCAAATACGTATATGCTTACTTTTGCACTGTCGACCCTTCCTAAATCTGTTAAAGCTGGTTATCTAAACATCGGAGTGGAGGTGTATGTCCCCAATCCACTCCGATGTTTCAAGCGCCAAAAGTTTGGACATGGGTCTAAATCCTGTAATCACTCTGTCGTCTTCCAGCGCTGTGGTGACGGCCATGACAGCACTGGATGTACAGCTGACATTAAATGTTCCAACTGTAATGGCAAACATCTGGCTTCCTCGAAATTATGTCCAGTGTGGCAAAAACAATCAAAAATCATCATGTAACCTTCAGGCTGTTGTTGTCCGGCTGTTTGAGGATGGAGAAATATATAGGGAACAAAGTGTGAAAGTTATTTGTAGAGTAAGACGGACAACAACAGCCTGAAGGTTACAATGGAGATGAACAGGACTGTGGATGATGCCCTGCCTCACCAAAATGGAAGCACCGCCAGAGCACCTAGAGGTGAAAAAGAATGATAGGAATTGTACTGACGCAATTCAAATTTATCAGTATGCTTAAGATAGGTCTCTTGTAAACTAAAAGCTGATGGTTTATAGTCTTGTGCTAATAACTGGACTTCATTAAAATTATCCCTAAGTCCTCTGCAATTCCACTGAATTACGTTAGGAGATTGAGTCATGGTGGAAGGGGCACTCGTGAAGAGCAACCTCCTCGTGGTGAGTGCTGGGTAACGCTAATCGCTCTTCCCCCGTGTGGAACCGGGGTAGAATATTTCCACAGCACCCCATTGCTGGTCGTAAGAGGCGACCAAAGTGGGCAGCCTGTTTGCCGTGGGTTGCGCCCCTGTGTCGGTGGAGGAAGGGAGTCTGGTGGTTGAGGGCACTGGAGCCAGGATCAGTGTTCCTTTTGCCCAACACACCACTTTGACCCTTACTTCACCTAGACGGGTGGTAGAATGGGCCCGATTCTATCAATCGGCTGGTCACGCCATGCCCTGTGCATGGATAACTTAGTTCCAATGTTATGCAATGGTTTTGATCAGGACATCTACAAATCTTAAATATCATGTTCTGTAATATGTTTTGCCTAGAGTCCTATGCCAGAAGGCGGTGGCTCATGGGCCAATCTGGCATTATTGACCTCCGGGTTCTTTTTGTCTTCAGGTTTCTGTCTAGGGCAGAACCAGCCTGACTTTTACCCTGTTTGACATTTTTAGCTACCTGCGTCCTTTTTGCTGGAGTATAGCACCCCTGTAGCCCTGGTGTTTGTAGTCGGTTTCCACTTCAACACTGTCCTTGTTGACGCTCCATGGTGGGTGGGGAACAGGGGTGTCGAATCTTTTCCTTTCATTATGGCTACCTCACAGCTCACTGGTTCTCGTTCAAAAACGAAAAGAAGGCATCTCGATACAGATAGTGTCGTGTCGTCTGATGATGAATCTTTACTTAATGTAGAATCGTGGCCACGATTTCTGGTTGTCGAAGGAGTTGATGGAGAGCCTCTCAGAATCAACCCCTTTGTGGTTTCAAAATCTATCCAAGGGATATGTGGTACAGTACAAAACGTCACTCGTCTCCGGTCTGGTTCCCTGCTTGTGGAATGCGCCAAGAGACAACAATCTCTCAATCTTTTACAAGCACATCATTTTGCAAATACAGAGATTGTTGTCTCAGCACATAAAACTCTGAATTCATGTAGAGGCATTGTACGCGACCGTGCAAAGTGCCTCTCAGACATGTCGGAAGAGGAGATTGTAGCAGAAATGAAGCCTCAGGGTGTTACATCTGTCAAACGGTTCAATAGAAAAGATGGTGAAATATTTGTGAAGACAAATACGTACCTGTTTACTTTTGCCCTTTCAAGGATCCCTTCATCAATCAAGGCCGGATATTTCAACATCGGAGTGGATGTGTATATACCAAATCCACTCCGTTGTTTTAAATGTCAGCAGTTCGGACATGGAGCTAAATCCTGTCGCAACTCAGCAGTTTGCTCCCGCTGCAGTAAGAAACATGATGGCACTGACTGTACAGATACCATCAAATGTTCAAACTGCAGTTGTGACCACATGTCGTCATCTAAATCGTGCCCTTCCTTTGTGATTCAGACAAAAATACTCAAATTAAAATATACTAATGATATCTCATTCTCAGATGCTAAGAAACTTCTTCAGATTGAATCAACCTCATCCACCCATTCACTGACCTACTCTGCTGCAGTCTCCTCTGCTGCTGTCTCCTCTGCTATCAAAGTGGATAACGGATGCCAAACAGCTATTAGCTGGGTGTCAAATGAACGAACCATGTTGTTTCAAATTGATGCTGAAGATACCACCACTTCCCCCCAATCCACTTCAAAACCTTCACAAACGGAACCTCTGCCAGAAAATGAACCTCACTCACTCACTCACTCTCAACTTGATACCTCTCCTGTACCTGAAAGTGACAAAAGAAATGATGTGACCCAAACCAGAAAAGAAAGAAAGCAACAAAGGAAAAAAGAATCTAAGGCACTTAAACATATTAAGGTGCCTTCACCCTTGACATTCCCTCTGGAGGTTCAAAATCCCTTTGAACCTTTAGATATGGAGGTCTCTCCATCGCTGTCATTACAGCGTAAAGGACCTTCTCCACGCTCACGATCTCCAATTGAGCCACCATGAGTTGCTCTCCCAATTTAATCCAGTGGAATTGTAGAGGACTTCGGACCAATTTTAATGACCTTCAGCTCTTAGTTCAAGATTTTAAACCATCGGCCTTTTGTTTGCAAGAAACGTTCCTTAAAACTACGGATAATTTTGATTTACGACAATATGATTCCTACCATTGCTTTTCCCCACCAGGGGATAAAGCAACTGGGGGATCTTCTGTTATGGTGAGGCAGGGCATCATTCACAGTCCTGTTCCTCTCCATACCCCTCTTCAGGCTGTAGCAGTACGTATAACATTGAATATTGTTTTTACTTTGTGTTCTTTGTATGTCCCTCCAACGTACTCTCTCCGACAGTCTGATCTTCAGGCACTGTATGACCAACTCCCTAAGCCCTGTGTTCTCATGGGAGATCTGAATGGCCATAACCCACTTTGGGGTAGTAATGACAGCAATGCCAAAGGTAAATTATTGGAGGATTTTTTCTTAACTAACGATTTATGCATTTTGAATGATGGTTCTCATACGTACCTACATCCGGCAACTGGAACTTACTCTTGTCTTGACTTGTCCGTTGTAGACTCTAATTTACTTGATGAATTTGAATGGTCAGTCCACGATGACCTCTGTGGAAGTGACCATTTTCCTACCATTTTAAAATCTGTGACACCATCTGATATTCCTCCATCATCAAGATGGAACTTTCCTAAGGCAAACTGGGCTTTATATGAAGTCCTTTGCACAAACCAACTAAATCCTGATGTTTTTATTGATGCCACTGATCCTATAAAGCTTTTCTCTGATAGTCTTACGAAAATAGCTGATGAATGTATTCCGAAGTCCTCTTCAAATCCTCACATTCGTAAACCATGGTTCAGCAATGATTGCAAACTAGCTAGGAAGGCGAGGAAAAAAGCTGAACAATATTTCCGTCGTCATCCTATGGTCCACAATTTAAATAAATTCAAAATATTAAACGCTAAAGCACGGCGTACATTTAAACAAAACAAGCGTCAGTCTTGGCAAAATTATGTCTCGAAGATAAATTCACGTACGCCGATATCGAAGGTATGGAACATGATTAAGAAAATAAAAGGTAAGGGTTCTAAATCTAGTATCCACCACCTAAAAAATGGGAATGAATTATTAACCGATACTTCTGATATTGCTAACAAACTTGGTGAAACTCTGGCTCAACATTCTTCCTCCTCGAACTATGCCCCTCAATTCCAAAAATATCAAAAGCAACAAGAAAAGAAACCTATTACTTTTAATTCAGATAATGGGGAGGATTACAATGAAATCTTTTCCATTCATGAACTCAATACTGCCCTTGGGCAAGCTCATGACACTGCTTCAGGGTCTGATAATATACATTATCAACTCTTAAAACATTTACCGCAATCCTGTTTAGAAACCCTCTTGATGATCTTTGATAAAATCTGGACGTCAGGAGAATTTCCTTCTTCATGGCGTGATGCTATTGTAATTCCCATACCTAAACCTGGTCGTGATCATACTGATCCTTCAAATTATCGACCAATTTCATTAACTAGTTGCGTTTGCAAAACCATGGAACGCATGGTCAATAATAGATTAACGTGGTACTTAGAATCCAATAATTTAATTACAAATATCCAATGTGGATTCCGTAAAAATCGTAGTACCATTGACCATTTAGTTAGATTGGAGTCATTCATTAAGAATGCCATTGTTAACAAACAGCATGCAGTGTCTATCTTTTTCGATCTGGAAAAAGCATATGACACTACATGGAAGCATGGCATTTTAAAAGATTTACATGACTTTGGATTGCGAGGCCGTTTGCCTCAATTTATATCCAAGTTTTTATCCGACAGACAATTTCAGGTCCGCGTGGGTTCTACCCTGTCTGATCATTATACTCAGGATCAGGGTGTCCCACAAGGCAGTATTTTGTCTGTCACACTGTTTAGTATAAAAATAAATAGCCTGTCTAAGGTTTTAAACGATTCCATCGATGGATCTTTATTCGTGGATGATTTTAATATTTCCTGTCGTGGTAAAAATATGAATACTATTGAAAGGCAACTACAATTATGCCTAAACAAAATCCAAAAGTGGTCATTAGAAAATGGTTTTAGATTTTCAAAATCTAAAACTAATTGTATACATTTTTGTAGACAGTACAAGCCTCACAAGGACCCAGATCTAGTTTTAGATGGCACTCCTATTAAAGTTGTAAAGGAGGCCAAGTTCTTAGGCATTATTTTTGACCATCATTTAACCTTTTTGCCACATATCAAATATTTAAAGAATAAATGCCTGAAGGCACTTGACCTGTTGAAAGTTGTCTCCAACGCAAAGTGGGGAGGGGATCAGAAAACTCTCCTGCAACTGTACAGAGCTCTCATACGCTCCAAACTGGATTATGGCTCCATCATTTATGGTGGAGCTTGCAAAAGTAACTTAAAACTGCTTGATTCTATCCACCATCAAGGCCTCAGGCTTTGCCTGGGTGCCTTCCGAACATCTCCTGTATCTAGTCTGAATGTTGAAGCTGATGAGCCATCCCTTAAAGACCGCCGCCTAAAATTATCTTTACAATACATCACAAAACTATATTCAAATCAATCAAATCCTGCATATGACTGTGTTTTTCATCCTCAACATGTAGACCTCTATCATAAGAAACCTTCGCTTGTTCCACCCCTTGGAATAAGAATACAACCTGACATTTCTGCTGCAAATATTGATCTCACAATCATATCTCAGACTCAACTACTCTCGTCTCCTCCGTGGCAACTAGTAAAGCCACAGGTAGATCTTTCATTAACGGCACTAAAGAAATCAGACACCAATCAACTCATGTATCAGCAAGAATATAATCAATTAAGAAGCGCATACAATACTTATAAGTCTATATTTACAGATGGATCCAAGGATGGTGACGCAGTTGCTTCCGCCACCGTCATTGGATCCAGAACCATATCATCCAGATTACCAAATGACAGTTCCATTTTTACAGCAGAATCGCAGGCAATATTAACAGCTCTCAAATATATAAATACTCAGTCCAAACATAATAACTTCATCATATTTTCTGATTCCCTTTCTTGTCTTCAAGCCATTAAGAATATTTCATATGAACATCCACTTTTACACGACATTATAGAATTATTTAATGATCTTGCTACTGGCCAATATGACATCGTCTTTTGTTGGTTACCCAGCCATGTTGGTATCTTAGGTAACACAATGGCCGATGCTGCTGCAAAAGAAGCACTCAACAAATCTGTGACACCACTTCTCATCCCATATACTGATTATAAACCTGTAATCAGATCTTACATCCGAGATTTAATGCAGCAGAAGTGGGACGCCCAAGTAGGTATCAATAAATTACATGAAATTAAACCAAATATCGGTTACACCTACTTGGGCTGTCAGTCCAGATTTGAAGAGGTCGTTATGCGACGATGTCGTATTGGCCATTCAAGATATACGCAGGAATATTTATTGAAAGGTGAGGATCCTCCGTTTTGTATCCCTTGTGATGAAAGAATCACGGTCAAGCATGTCCTGCTTGACTGTATTGATTTTTCCATCACAAGGGATAAATATTTCAGTGTTAAAACGGTCAAGGCCCTTTTTAATGACGTTAATTATCGTTTAATATTATGCTTTTTAAAAGAAATAGAACTGTTTCATAAATTTTGATGTATTTAGGATATTCTTTTATAAATTGGTAGTGCTTATTTCTAACTGAGATTGTTAGTGGCTGTACCCTTGAGGGGGGTTGAAGTAGCGTAAAATTATTGTCCCCCTAAGAGGGTATGTAAGTCCCTAATCATTCGAAGTATTTGTATGCATACCAGAATTTTAAATAGTAGTATTTTCGTTATTTTAACTTCAGGCTTAACTGGTATACAATCACCAGTGACTGAAGGGATGATATAAATCCTGCCGGGGTCCATGCAGGAAGCAAAGGCACTGTAAGTCCCCATGGTCCCTGGTATGGTGATCTCACTTTAGTTACTGACGATCTCAAGCCCATTTTTATATTGTGATGTCAACTCAATCTTTCTTCTTTTAAATGTGCCTCGACTAGTTTTAAATCTAATCTGTGATATGCTAGTTATCGTACTGTCCTTCGATGACAGGTTTTTATACAGTTTAAATATATGCATTATTTATGACCAACTTCTCGTCACGATATGGCTGCAATATTGCCGATGTGACGTTAAATTTTAACTCACTCACTCACTCACTGAGAAACCATCACATACGTCAGTCAAACAACCAGTCGTTGTTCATTTGTCGAATAAAGAAAAAAAGAAATTGAAGAAAAAACAACTGCCAATCGTCCCTTCACCTTCAGAGGTTCCTTTACAGAACTGGCACTCGTGAAGAGCAACCTCCTCGTGGTGAGTGCTGGGTAACGCTAATCGCTCTTCCCCCGTGTGGAACCGGGGCAGAATATTTCCACAGCCTCCCATTGCTGGTCGTATGAGGCAACTAAAATGGGCAACCTGTTTGCCGTGGGTTGCGTCCCTGTGTCGTTGGAGGAAGGGAGTCTGGTGGTTGAGGGCACTGGAGCTAGGAACCGGTGTTTCTTTGCCCAACACACCACTTTGACCCTAACTTCACCTAGACAGGTGATAGAATGGGCCCGATTCTATCAATCGGCTGGTCACGCCAAGCCCTGTGCATAAAATTGTGTATGCACTCTCGTGATTTTTATAAATGTATTATTGAGCTATAGACTTGGACCTGTATATCATGCTTGAATTTTCAAACTATTTATGTACCAATTTGCCTAGAGTCTTATGCCAGAAGGCGGTGGCTCATGGGCCAATCTGGTGATGTTGACCTCCAAATTCAGTATGTATCCAATTTCTTGTCATGGGCCGAACCAGCCTGGCATTTAATTTGGTATACAAATATTGCTCTTTGCGTCATATTTGCTGTAGTATAACATCTCTGTATCCCTGGTGTTTGCATCTTGGATATCCGGTGCACCATAACACCGTT